TAGCCAAGACATGGCGAGAACCATACGAGGCGAACTTGAGAATTCGGCAGATAACCAGGGTATCATCTCCAGTCCTTAATAACCACATATGATAAATTTGACTAACGTTGGTTATAATAGAGCAGTGGTTGAAATTTGAACGTTCCCAACCCCCTCCACAGTTGGGCTCGCCTCTCATCGTGTGGGAGCAGCGCCTGTTTAAAGGCCACCCGACTCATCCTGTAAGTACATGTACTATTATCCCTCACACTTATTCCAGTTGCGCCCAAGCTCTAAAGTTGATGATCCAGATGCATCGCTCTTTTTGCGCCAATCCACCCCCGAATCCCAAGATTAATATATTGAGGAATTTCTCAAAGCCAAGGTCATTATCATTTCGGTTCCACGAGACCGTATTCACCTAGACGGGCCCTTTGAAGAGACCATCGCGCCGCTTCTTCGGAAGCTAGACATTCCCGCGGAGGCTATTCCTACTGATAGGGTCCTCCTACCCTACTTCGCCGCCCAACTGCCCATCATACACCAGTACCTCGGCACCGACGCTATCAGGGTGGGCTCATCCGAGCTGTACGGCCTGCACCAGGCGTCGATGCGCACCATCTCCATCCCGGACTTTCCTTTTCACGTCAAGATGGCCCTAAGCTTCACTATCACTAGCGCGAGGCGCACCATGACTCCCTGGACCACCCGCATGTGCATCGAGGTCTCGCGGTTGCTCCAGGATATCGCGGACCCCGAGCTCCTATGGATTGCCCTCAAGAGGGCAGCCGCTTGTAGCGCCAACCGCGATTTCGAGGCGGCCAAACACTTGTCCGTCATGCTGCGCGAGGACCCGGAGCCGCGTGCCCGCGAGCTTGGCCAGTGCCTGGTCCTGCCCGCCGCGCTTTTTGAGCTCCGCAGTGAGGACCGCGTTGCGCCCGTGGTGGAACTTTTTAACTTAGAACCGACCCTCGAGGCGCGCAAGAACTGGTTCCGCAAGTGTGTTGTTTAATATTTGTTATCCCTTCCTTCAGCCCTCCTTTGCGTTCTATGCATAATGCCAGGCCCCCCCTTAGACCGTTTGGCTAACCTGAGTTTGCACACCCTACCTAGCTACGCCCGCCTCTACCTGCAGGCTGTCCTCCCGCCTCTCCTTTCGTATGGCATCTGCCTAGAGGCGCACTTGCAGAACGTCCTCGCACGTTTCGACGTCGAGACCGGTGCGCTGCGGGGCTTTGTTTATCGCGATATGGGCGGCCTGCGCATGCACCTGCCGACCATGAAGGCCCGTGGCATAGGCATTAAGTCCGCGGACTTGGTTCCTGGAGCGGTCACGCTGACTGACGATTTGGAGGCCGTGTGGATTAATGCTTATCACAATCTGGTGGTAAACCACATGGGAGGCGCCTTGAGAGGGATGGGACTCCAGTGGGACGGGGGCTGGGACATTTTGAAAGAGGAGCTGAAGCAGGCATTAGAGGCAAGCCCCGATCCCGACAACAAGACGGCCGAACTGCTGGAATTTATGGTACGACCTACCATGAAGAGGAAAGCGTTCCTAAGGATGCAGATTGCAGGGATATATCGTGACGTGAGTACTGCAAGTGAGCTCGTGAGCTGGCTAGGGCATCTACTAATTCTCTCAGAGAGTTTACGCCCGCCTTCCAAATCCTTTATTCATCCTTCCAAGGGAATAGGTGGGTTAAGAGAACTTGTCGGCCAGAGGAATCTCTACATGTACAGCCGTCTCCTAGCTGCCCAGAGTAGGTTGTTTACAGATTTATTCTCAGGTCTGGAACAAGATTTCGTTAGCAACGAAGGGAAGACCTCCGCCGTCCAATACCAAGAGAGCAATAATCCGGGCATGTGTACCCCATCGCGAAGGGGCTGCCACACGCCTCACCACACCGGGCCCCGCCCGCTCCAGCAACAGTATGGGATTTCATTGTCCAGTGTTGTCGGCGCCATAGTCCGCAACAACATCACCGTAGACTTGTAGTTAACTGTGCCGGCGTATTATTTCTCATGGCGAAAGTCAACGGGGAGTAAACCTTGCAGATTCAGTGGCAAATCATCGTTAGTACTAACATGGTAGCATTTCCGAGGGGAGCAAGAATGGTAAACAATTATTATTATTATTTCCTACACCGATATGCCCTGGGGCGCGCCGGTCCTTCTACTGCTATTTACAAAGGAAACCGTACCGTATAAACCGGATAAAAACCTCTGTCTACCACTTTGAGACAACAATCTATGAATCCGTCATACTGCAAAAGAAAGGAGGCCCTTTGCCGGCCTCCGGGCCCTCTAGCCCTCCCCATTCACTGTTTCTAGCTCCAGCCTTCTGGCCAGGCTATACTCCAGTAGCCGGCCAGAGTCCATCAGCCAGCCAAGGACCTTCCTAACAAATCTTCTGCTCCGGGCACCTACTCCCCGTAATACGGTTTGTAGGTCCCGATGTGACCGAATCTCTCTGCCGTCCCACGGCCTTTGTAACGGCGGGTCGGGGCACCAAACCACCAAGTGCTCCACTGTCTCCCTGCCTCTCCCGCACTCGAAATAGGGGTACGGACCTCCAGGACTTTCACCCTGAACAGGTAGTCCCGGAGGCCTATATCCCCGATACGGGCCTGGGAAAGGAGGGAGCTCTGCGCCTTTGTAAGACCTTCGTGTCTCATCAGAGCTTTGTCGGTAAATAAGAGGGCTGGGGGGTCTTCGTCGGCTATCCTCCTGTTTAATACCCTCTGTCGAGTAGTACTTTGTTGACTGGCTCTCTGTTGTTCCCACCGGGCCTGCCTGGCCAGTTCGACCACCTCCTTGGTATTCGACCCCCTATCCTTCCACCCGATCTTCCATTTGTAGCTAACCCACTGGGCCACTACACTAGCGGCTAGTTCAATGGGCGTGGGACTCTGCGGGCCCTGACGGGGCCTCCGGCCTCGAGTTTTCCTCCTCTTGTTGAACCTTCGGTAGACCTTATTGCAGGCCTCAGTGATTAGATGCCCCGTGGTTATTCTCTCAGCCTCCGGCCCAGCCCCTGATTGTAGGGCCTGCTTCTGTAGCCGGCCCTCGAGCCGCTCGCCCACTTGCTTTATGAACTAGGTGGTATTTCGAGCCTCTAGGACAGTAGGTTGACTTGGTTTGTTGGTTGATCCATGGCTCCTGAATAGCCATTAGGTCGTACTGCGCTTCTTCTAGCAGGGCCTCGAGCGCCTGCTTGTTTCCTTCAGTGTTCCACAGTAGGACTCTAATTTTCATTAATTTCCATAGTTGCGTCTTCAGCTGGTTGGGCCTGTTTGGCCGGCTGGGTAGGCTGGGTAGGCTGGGTGGGCTGAGTGGGCTGGGTGGGCTGGATAGCTCCGAATATCCCCCCTGAACCAAGGCTAATCCGGCTTTGGGAGGGGTCCCTTCCAGCCACTGAAATCAACGTTGGCCGGCCTCTGCCCAACCGTGGCCTTTTTGCCCCGACTCTCAGAAATCCATACTCCTCCTCCTGTGGTCGGGCCTTCTCGTAGGTGAATGCTGATCTTGGTGCTGTTATAGGCTCCGCAGCTGCTGTCCGAGCTGGCTCGAACACCCTTGGTCGGTATTGGTATGCCTCTCTCGCCTCCTTCTTGGCCCTGGCCCTTCCCGGGCACTCCTTGGCCCAGCCCGGGTGCCTTCCTCCGCAGCAGGGGCACTTACAGGGCACCTGACCCTGCTGGGTAGGGCAGAGGGCCTCCCCGGCCCTCCCGCCCTCCCCATGGGCCCCCGTACCACACCTCCCACAATGGTAAACAATTACTTGGAAGCCCGTTTCTGAAATCGAGTCGGACAACGACTGAAGGATGAAGCCAAGCCGTATACAAAGGACATGATCAATTACTAGATACGTAAGATTTCCGCTACAGTACATCTGCGTTAGTAGTTTGGTATCCTGGTATGTAGGTACACATGTAATAAGGGTTGAGGATGTAAGGATCTATCTAAGGAATTGGCGAGAGTTATTTGAGGGTGCCAGTTCAATAAATCTTATATTTAGTGCTTGATGATTGCAAAGTACCTAGATACCTGCCTATACAGCGGTTTTTACACTTCTACGCCTTTTGTAATCTGTCAAAGGTAACTATGGCCTTTGCTATCCCTAGCACCTCACCCCGGTTAAGGAGAAACTCCAATCGTTTCGGCTCGAGCGCGACTTCCCAGCGGTTGCGAAATTCGTGTCGGGACTTGAATTTCTCAAATTTACCCTGGACGCCGCGGAGGCAGCTCATGTGGCCCCGGAGAAAAATTGTGTTATGGTCAGACCAGTTAGAAGGACAGTGCAAATGCAAAGCATAGTTAATTCTGGTCA